CACGCTTCTACCTGTAACAGCAGCGTACACGATAAACAACCCGGTAACAGTCGCCGTTCTTTTTGCGCTTCATCATGACATTCGTGGTAGAAAGTTCGATAGATGGCAAGCGCAAAGGCGACTGCTGTCTGGCTGTTCATTACACGCCGTGCTGTTGTTGCAAGCGTGAAGTGCACGAAGCTGGTGTAGCCTAGCCTAGCCTAGCCCCGACAAGAGACGGCGCGCGGGAGCTTGCTGATTGGCTCTTCGGAAGCCCACTTTCTCCGCGGGCCACACTGATATTATACCTTCATTTTAAGGTGAGGGGCCACAAAATATTGTACTGCGGGCCGCACTTGGCCCCCGGGCCGCGAGTCTGAGACCCCTGTGTTAAGGTGAAAATGCTGGAGTTTTGTTGCAGCCACAGCTGTGGACACATGTATCTGTGTGTCGTATTAATACACACGTATTTAACTGGTTACTGGCAGTTGACTTAAACAGGTATGTTTGTTTAACCAATGGTTTGGTGCCCTCACTTGGCTTCAGATCATCAGGTGTAGCTGCTGAGTGTGTGAGCGATCATGCAAAAATCTGTTAGTTAGTTAGTGCGTAATCAGGAAAGAAGACAATTAAAAAAAACCACACCAAACACTGGTCTACATTGTTATCGACTCAACAGCCACTCAGGTGAGCTGACAACCTGTTACTGAAACCGTGGAAACCAGGGGTATAAGTAGGCTGAGGTGAGGTGAGGTGATGTTGATGAGGTGCAGGTGTGATTCATCTGGAGCCAGGTGTAGATGATCAGGCAGCAGGAGCAGAGCTGCCTGTCACACCTGTCTGTGTTTCTTTGTAGAAACAGTTAAACCAGTGGCAACCAAACGTAAAGATCTGGTGACGCTGGTACAGTGACTGTGCAAGAGACTTCTAACAGTAGGTTCACAACTTCTTTATTTAATGTTTTTTATTATTATTATTATTAATATACAGGAGTTATCTATGAATTTATCTATGTTTTACATGGATGTCTAGTAAAAATAAAAACAAAGGCTCTACTGTTTTTGGTGCCAACACTACATAAAAAACACACTTGACTATTTCGGACGCATATCAGCTTATTAAAATTAAACTGGGCCTGCATGTTACAAGGGAAACATATTTTTCCTTATAACATGCTCAACCCATCATTACAAGTAATATGAGGTATAAGTAGGCTGCTCAACCCATCATTACAAGTAATATGCAACATGTCATGCCTTAAAAGACAGCACTTTGCGTATTTTACTTGTTATTAGTCGTTGTTTAAGTAGAGTTTGTGTTTGCAGGTGACTGTAGTTGCAGCAAAGGAATCATTCTACACCAGACACGTACTGTAGAACTGCCTCTTCTCTCTGACTCATGACATGTACTACACTGGTACAGTCTAAAGTATTTGTAAACAAAGTTGTGTCATTACTGTACTGTTTATTCTCTTTCCTTCTCAGTGACTGGGTTAACACACGCTGTGGTTTCTCAGAAAGTTGTCAATGTTGCACAGTACGTGTGATGATATTTTGAGTCATTTTAAGCTTTGTTTGAACATCTGTCTCACACATAGGGTTGCTTTATGGAGCATGACAATATAACCACTGGGTCGACATTGTACCAATAACTTTGTTTTCCCTAGTGAATTTAAGTGATGCTGCTTTATTTTGAAAAATTCTCATTTAAGGCAAAGGAAAGCACAAACTGAAGTTTTTGAACTTCTTCTGATGATTTTATTGAACTCTATGTAATGACATGTTATATTGGTACGACTGTGGACGCAGCTGGGGTTGTCCGTGTTCGCCCTAGTGTCCAAACTATTTTTCCACAAATGGCCAGTTGCCATGAGTCAGCGGCAGCGGTCAGAGGTTTCCACTCCTAGACACAACACAGCATCCGGGAAAAACAATTCTCTGATGCCTCGGTCTTCCTTTATTGTCTGGGATGATTCCGAGTCGGGAGAGGCTTATTGTTTGGATGTCTTTGTAGTGGACATCCACTGCTGAGGAATGTGGGGATTTCCGGCCTCGTGGGTATTTTTAGATCTCCCTGTGAATTGAAAGGAGCTCAGCATTATGCTGTGTGGTGTGGGGTCTGTGGGCGAGGTCGCTGCAGCCGTGCACATGTGTGGGAATCTTTGAGTCTTCTCTTCATATGATCACAGAAAGGATGTGTGTGTGTGTGTGTGTGTGTGTGTGTGTGTGTGTGTGTATGGTCCTGCCCTGTCATTCTGAGCACAATCATATCCTTGTTTGAAAGAGAACTTGGATCAGCAGAAATCCTCTTCTAAATTAAGACACAGTGCAAACTTAAATGGTCAAATGGAAGAATAGAAACACTGAATATATAATGTATTCATATTTTCATTTACCTTTTGTGGGTAGGAACTAATAATGTGTCATTAATAGCAAATGTTTTGTGTAAAATAACCAAAAAAAAAAACCCAATCTAAAATATATAAACAGGATTATTAAATGTTTTCTCAAGAAATGTAATTTGAATTGAAATGTATTGGTTCATAAAAATACTTCATATATTATATAGTGGTTCCATTATTACTAGCATAATTTAAGACATAGTATTATTTAAGTTAAAATCAAGTAAATTGTTGCAAATATTTTTACTTCTTATACTAAAGAAAATACTCCTTCCTTATTTAATGTTGAACACTGACACATAAACTCTGTTGATTGAGACGAAGGCTGGAAAATTTCATGGTCTATTTATCCCCTGTTTCCGGTGTGACAGCTCCTGATTGGACAGCAGTGTGTCCACTGAAAACAGTACTGCTCTGGACACTGCTTATTCGCTCAAGTGTTTCGAGGGGGACTCACCAGGTCACCTGGAGGTCTATGACCTCCCAGGGTAATGTTCTCCTCCAGGTCTCCCTCTTTGACAGCGGTCAATGGAGGCGTCCATGCAGTGGACAGAGGGGCGGATGGTCGAGGTGAAACCAGGGAATAGACAGGTCATAGCCAGATGGACCTGTCACCTCCAAATCAAACCCACTAAGATCTCCTTCCGGGTTTCACTCAGACCCTGTCACCTTAGGTGACATCCAGTGACAATGTGCCTTGACCTGTCACCTTCTTGTCTGTATCTGTTTGTGGGTTTATTTGGCTGCTTTCACAGAGTATCTAGAGATGTCCCCAAAAATGTCCCCAAATGTTTTTGGGACATGACAAGTATTGGAACTGGAAGTTCCTCCTGCTGGATTCTCATTGTTTGATTTCAGGTGATGTTCTATTGAAACATGATGCGACACGATGAAGAAGAAGAATCACTGTGGTCTCGTCTCTTTATCGAGGGTGACCACAGTAGTAGTACACAGATATTTGGCAGTTTTTCACCAGATGCCTTTCCTGGTGCAACCAAACCTTTGCAACCCAAGTCAATAGACATTATTCGTGAGAAACATGATGCGAGACAACTCCAAGAAAAAATCTCTTGTGACCCACCTGAGCAACAATTACAGTAAAGTATGCAATCATTTAGAAGGAAAAATGTAGTAAATCTACAGACGTCCCAAATGTTTAATATATGGTGGTGTGTTTCCTCGCCCTCTGCATGTATTTTCTCATTTCCCCACTCTTTATCCAGCGGTCTAGTGGTTTGTGGGTAGAAATATTTACGAGTATTAAGGAGAGCGCGTAAGTTGCAGTAATAAATCATTATCTTTTATTGATGGAGTCAAAGGGCAAAACTCTTGACACCGCAGGGTGAACTGTTAAACTCCAAACACAAAAACAAGACCTGCCACTGGACGCATTCAACCCAGTAATCTGCTTGGTGTAAGGCATGAAGTCTGTTCAATCACTAGAACCAAGAGAAGAAAATAAGGTTGTGAAGGGGGGACATGATCATCACAGGAGTTAATGTTAATGTTAATGAGTTGATAATAACAACGTATGTAACAGAGACTTTTACCTTTTGATGAAGAAGGGCAAGAGACCAGAACAAAAACCATGAAGAAAATATATCATGACTGATTCTATTTTTCAGACCCAGAATTTTTTCTTTTATGTTCCAGTCTTTTATGATTAAAATTCACATCAGGATTTTCATAACTTCTTGTTATTCGATTACTTTTCTTTTAATGTAAAAACATAAACAACGTCCAGCAGCATAAAAGTGACAAACACTTCCATCAGCAGGCTAAAAATGCTGACAACATCAACTCTGAACACTGGCCGTCAGCAGGTTTAATGTTTACTAGTTCAGTATCTCAGATGATCTGGTTAGTGCAGGTATTTCATTTGTGCTTGACTGTAGATTGTTGGTGATAATGGTGGTTTTCATTTGTTTGGCAGGAACTACCGGTACAAATATCCAAGTTTTGGCAAAAGAAAAGAATTGAATTTGCAGGCGTTTCAAGTACAAGTTGATTTGTTGATTTGAAGTTTCCTTGATTTACATGTTTGTCCTACACCTTAACCCCATAACGTGGACTCATTTCAGTATTTCTGTTGTTTAAGTTAAAAGGCAAAGAAGAGAAGAAACGCTGCCTGAATGAATGAATCCCCCGTACTCACTACAAAAGACCTTGCAGCGTACAAAGCACCATGACATCGTCACATACCTCAGCGGTGAGTAATGAAGCAGGTCAAATCTTAAATGTCTTGTTCACACACTGCTTATATTTCCTTGTCTAACCACATAGCCTGTCTCTGGGAGGTTTTCTTGTCAACCACTGGCCCGTCTGTGTTTACCCAGCACTGACTGGAGGTTTATCATAGAATCGCAGGTGTCAGATCACAACAGTCTTAGCATTAATCTGTCAACAACAACACACACTGCATATTTACATGCACAGCTACTTGGACTGTAGACTTGATAATACTTGTGATTACATTGTACAGCAGAGCTATAATTTAACCTAAATAAGTTGTTTGATTTGACTGCTGTCTTTCATTAGCACCAGTTGATAATTTATTTAAAATATGACTTTATAATATGTAATGATAAACAGCTTTTAGCTGTTATTAGCACAACCTGTAATCTCAAAGCCAGGTAGCTAAAATGTAGCTGGTTAGCAAGTTAGCTAAATAAACTTGAATATACTTCATATTGTATATGGAAAGTATTCATAATTGTTGTATCAACTGTTGTTGAATCACACCTGCATATTAAATATTTCAGTTCAGTTGATGATAACAAAGTAGCAACATGTGTTACGTTCCATTGTATTTTCAAAGTGAACGCTCTCCGCCGCATCTTCTCTCTTTGCTCTCTCCTTAACAAAAAGACAGCCCTTTATTTCCCATATTAATGTAGAAGCAGGTGGTAAAGGAGCCTTTGTTAATCACTTAATGATGTGTCCCGGCCCCCACTTTACATGCTCACTTTTTCACCCGCAGTTTTACTTCTCGTGCCCGGTCTGTGGAAACTTTATAAAAAGTTTATCTTACCATGAAATGAGTAAGCAGGGATAAATGGCTAACGTGGGGTTTTGTCCATCAGACTATTGGGGGTCTGGCCACTGGGCAGGTTTGGACCATATGTCATCATTCCAGGCCTTTGTGTGGGCGTTTCTCTGTGGCAACTGCATCAGCTGTTGCCATTGTGTGTCAGGATTCAATGGCCCATATATTCATTGCAGAGGCTAGTGTGGGCGCCGCAACAGAAACAAATTGATACATACAAGGCCCGGCCCTATTTGGCTCACATGACACATTTCAAACAGAGGAAAAAAAGGGCATTTCAGTCTGTTGGAAATCTTGAGAAAACCTTGGTCTCCATGGAGACTGTGCGGCAAAAGCCGCCATGGGCCATTAAACTCCAATCAGATGTAAATTTGGGCTGCCCCCAGGCTCAGGGATGGAAAGCCCCCTTCACACAGCAGACACAAATTAAACAGTTTGTTTGCCAATTCACATGTCATCTTAATGGCTTTTTATTCCTTCGCCCTTTGTTTAAATGAAGAGTATTACCAACCGTCATTGATTTATATCATTGAACCACTTCAGTGGCATACAGTCTGTTCAGCACCCACTTCAACTGAGTTAATGCTGAGGCCCTTAAACAGCTATCAGTGCTCATGAGGTAAAGTGTCAAGAAATGTTTTTTTACACCGTATTTATATTTTGTTAGAGCATGGAACATTTTTTCAGTATAATATTTTGCAATAATATTAGATAATTTGTCATTTTTTTTGTTGTTTTCTACTTGTCTATAACAAAACAATTAAATGAATAACAACCTATTCATTTAATATTAATCAATAAAGAAATTAAAAAATGTATTTAAATTCTTTAAATTACACATTTTGGTTAGTAATGTTAAGATAGTTATTAATAAAAAATATTAATTAAACATTTTTACACAAACATTTTGGTTAGTAATGTTAAGATAGTCTTATCTCCATGTGCATTTTAATTACATCTGTGTTACAGTGTAAGAACACTGAGTGAATGGGTGAATGTGGTGTAGTGTAACTGCTCTGTGTGGTACCAAAGACTAGAAAGAAGAAAATATTTTTCATACTAGTGATTGAACTGACAATGAATCCACTGCTCCCACTGTATGTTTCCACCATCAAATGCCCTGTTACACAGGAAACAAGGTTAATGGAAAACAAGCGGCCACTAGGTGACACTGTGCCCAGAACAGGAAGCAATGTGACCCTGTGATTGGGCAGAGAAAATATTATTCCTGACTTGATGTCTGGAGATTTGTTGGAGCTTTTGCGCTTGGCTGTGGGTCACATGTGCGGCCATGTTATTGTAATAGTCAGGATGGTTATTTTTCATAAAGCCTGGCCTCTGTCAAAGTAAAGGTCAACGAAAGGGTAAAAAGGCTGGAGGCTACGGCTCCAACACAAACACAGCTACTGACTCTTACGCAGATTACACTCCGACTCATTTCTTATTGTATGATTAACAATGATTAGAGGCGGTGGATGTTTTTGTACTTTACCACAGGCACCTTCAAAGTTCAACATGGGAACTAATCATGCTATTTGGATAGGATTTTCTGTAGTTAGAATACTGTTCTAATAGCATTTTTAATGTGACTAACTTTTAGGACATTAGTTACTACAGTCTAATTAACTAATATACAGTCTATATAACTAAGTAAACATACTGTATATGCTGGTACTTGCTGGCTAAGATCAAGTTATTTTTCCTAGTAATTTTGAATGCAATTCTGAAATTTCATGTTATATAATTGCATTATTATTATTATTATTATTATTATTATATAAGTGATGATATGTCAAACTACACACTGGGACTGAATTAATAAAAAAAAACTGATGTAGAAAAAGAAGTGGAACATGTTGCAGAGAATACCTGTATAAGACTGTCTCACGGGGATCACCCATTGCACTAATGCTTATTATTATATTATTGCACGGCTATACTGACAAAAGCAGTCATGTGTAATCTTCCACTGTTTCAGAAGGCAACATTCCCAGCCCTCTGGCAGAGTGGTTCCTGCTGTTGCTCTGTGGTTTCTGTTTTGTTGTTCCTAGTGTATCCATGTCAGGACAAGTGAAAGGAAGGAGGAAAAAAACTCAGAAGAACAAAACCGCAGCTACTGCTGACGTTAATGAGAGAGGGGTATGCGCTTCTGTTGTTCAGCGAGACTTCGGGAGGCTGCAGCTGATCGTGTCCTTCCTGCAGCCTGGTACAGTAGAACTGTTCTGTTATGACAGAACTGGACATGCAGAGCACAGCGTGGGCTTCGACTGGCTCTGGACCAGGCTGACCTGGGACCTGACATTACCAGTACAGCCGCAGCCTCCCTATCGCTCAGTCTTTGTTGTACGGTGGAGCCGACAATGTGCTGTCTCTGAGCTGCGGTGTCGTGCACGTAGGGCACGGCTAATGCTAATTTGACAGAGAGATGATTAACTGCAGTAGCCACAGTTGCAAACTGCTTCACTTTCTTGTGTAATTGTTTCCAGTGTCCTGCCTCCCAGTGAGGTTTTGACTGCTCTATTAACAAATTATGTTGCGCCTCAAGTGGATATTTACATAGAATAATAACTTCTCAGTCGGCAGCAAACTTGGAACAAAAGTTAAAAAAATGTTACATTTACTATAATGTAAAACCCTGTACGGCTTTTATACGAGATGAGAACTAAAAGTTTAGTTTAGCTTATTTAGAATCATTTATATTCTAACAAATTAAATAAACTGCGTTAGGTTTCTTGTGGTTTCTTTAGAAGAACTTCACTTTTGCGAATTTAAGAAGCCATTTGGAGGAGTCAACATCTTCAAATAATTCTAGTCACCAGTTTTCCTGTGAAGTTATAACTGGTCAAATGTTGGAGAATTAAGGTTGGCTATAAAAGGAGTATTCACTCTACCAACTACATTGACTATTAAAACAAACATTTTTGACCACCCACTGTGGAGCGGCTTAAATATTTAAGGTTGAAAAAACAGACAAGAATTATAAAACTTCAACAATTGGTGTCTATTCATTCCCAAAAGATTCAAATGTTTTTAAAAAATATTAATTTTTTCTGTGCTAATTTGAAAAAAAAAAAAAGATATTGGAACTTCCATGAATATATACAGTATGTTGTTAAATTACAGGTTTAAGTTTTAATTTTCAGAAAGCAAACCAACTTCTACAGAACAGCTCTCTTTTTATGAGAAGGAATATTTTACTGACTGTCTCTGAGTCAGTAAACGTTCCCATCAGCTCTGCTTACAACTGAGTTCAAACACTGTAACTTTTGGACCACAGCAAGAAAACACAGGCCCCGAGGCCACGAGAGAGAAGAGAAAAGAAGTCTGAAAAGGAGGCAGGACGGTGTACTGTCTGGCTGTCTGGTGTCCACACACAGCTCCGTCTTGTCCACTGGTGGCTGTGGAAGATTCATTAAGCTCACATTCACTCCCACTGCACGTGAGTGACAGGTCCCCGCAGCCAGTGTCGTTCCTCTCCGCTCTAACACGCCGTCTCCAGCCCATCTGGCCGCCCGACTCTAACAAGGCCTGTCCCCCAGCTGTAAGAGGGCATAGAGAGGAAGAAAAAGTTAAAGACTCCCAGATCCCATCAGATTCTCCGTGGTCTGTGGCCTCCAATTATTCAGAGCTTATCTTTTCAGCTTGGCTGATCTCCAAATGAATAAAGTGAGGGCCATATTACTGCTGGCCGGTTGCACCTCTAAAGGAGCTGAGGGAGGATCAGGTCTGTGGGTTACGGTGTCAATCTGGCTCTGACCCCTGGGGTGAGGGAGCTGCCGTTATGTAGTGACAGCGCAGAGGCATCCCCTTGTAGTACCTCCGTTTACACCCCGTTTGGGTAAATGAAAAAGGGCAATCACATTAGAAGAGGCTTCCTTCCATTTTAATCCATAGACAGAGAAAGAGAGGGAAAAAAAATCTCTAATCGCTAAGTGACTCTTGACTTTAAAGTCAGACTCGGGACTGTGACGAGAAAAGGTAGAAGTCAGAGGGTTAATCCGGCAGAGTGAAGAGTGTGAGGAGTTTGGGCTTTAGGTGACACCTGTGAGCAACAACAGATGGCCGATGAAAACACTTGGAGTAAATGGGTTTTTATTGAGGATAAATCGGTTAAAATGTGCACATCATTTGTACTGCCGTAATACGCAAAAGTATGCAAAAAC